AGTTCGATTCTTCTTGTTTGTTATTATTACTGTTGTTGTTGTTCTTCTTCTTCTTGGAGCCCACACTTGATAAATTATATGAAGAAACTCGAAAAAGTCCAAAGGTTTGCAGTCAGACTAGTACCAGAACAGAGAGGAATGCACTGTGAGGAGAGGTAGGAGCTGAACCTGACTACCTTGGTGGAAAGAAGAAGGGCAGGCTATGATTACGATATATAAGATCCTAAGATGGATGGATAGGGAAGATATAGGCGGAATGTTTGAGTTAAGAGGACCAGGATCAAGGAGACACAGGTGGAGAGGGAAGACAGAGGAGCCGCAGTGATGTTAGGAAGTATTTCTTCAGACTCAGGGGGAGTTGGGAAGTGAAGTGGGAGACTTGGAAGCGTCAGTGATGGAGTTAAACTGAATACACAGCTTCAAGAGTAGATATGATAAAGCCCAAGAAGCCAGAAATTTGTGACATTGATTAGATTGGTCTAGGAGGCTAGGCCAGGAGCTGAGTATCGACCCACGCAAACACAGTTCGGTGAACACACACACACACACAATGTACTAACGTGTACATATCATAAAAATAGAGACATTGCAGTAAGCCTACTGGCCCATGCTAGGCAGGTCCTCTTCACCTACTGGCCCATGCTAGGCAGGTCCTCTTCACCTACTGGCCCATGCTAGGCAGGTCCTCTTCACCTACTGGCCCATGCTAGGCAGGTTCTCTTCACCTACTGGCCCATGCTAGGCAGGTCCTCCTCACCTACTGGCCCTTGCTAGGCAGGTCCTCCTCACCTACTGGCCCATGCTAGGCAGGTCTTCCTCACCTACTGGCCCATGCTAGGCAGGTCTTCCTCACCTACTGGCCCATGCTAGGCAGGTCTTCCTCACCTACTGGCCCATGCTAGGCAGGTCTTCCTCACCTACTGGCCCATGCTAGGCAGGTCCTCCTCACCTACTGGCCCATGGTAGGTAGGTCCTCCTCACCTACTGGCCCATGCTAGGTAGATCCTCCTCACCTACTGGCCCATGCTAGGCAGGTCTTCCTCACCTACTGGCCCATGCTAGGCAGGTCTTCCTCACCTACTGGCCCATGCTAGGCAGGTCCTCCTCACCTACTGGCCCATGCTAGGTAGGTCCTCCTCACCTACTGGCCCATGCTAGGCAGGCCTTCCTCACCTACTGGCCCATGCTAGGCAGGTCTTCCTCACCTACTGGCCCATGCTAGGCAGGTCCTCCTCACCTACTGGCCCATGCCAGGCAGGTCCTCCTTACCTCACACGTCAGCAACACACAACAACAACAACAACAACAACAACAACAACAACAACAACAACAACAACAACAACAACAACAACAACAACAACAACATGACTTAGGAGGAACCACGAATTTTAAGAAATATTTGGTCAGTATTTCCTCAAGAGACGACAGTAGAACCTTCCTCACCGTTGTGAACCTAACTGAACTCACCTCGCTGTTAAAACTTAACCTCCAGTGTTAAAATTCGTGTTATATTCGCCTTCAGTGTTATATATATGAGTTTAAATTGGTTCTTCCTTTCTCCCAATGAACAAAGAAACAAAATATTCGAGATTCCCGAGTTAGTTTATATTAACCTGCCGTCAGACTCGTGTTAATTTGTGTTAGTCTGTGCTACTGTGATCTTCCGTGTTAACCTACACTGTTTTAACCTAAACTTTGCCTTAAATAACACAGTAAATAACAGATTTTTTTGCTAATGAGCAAATATATCATAATCCAAAGATTCTTCTTCCTAATGTTCCTATCTTTAATATACGTAAGTTTATATATATCCATGAGAGAGAGAGAGAGAGAGAGAGAGAGAGAGAGAGAGAGAGAGAGAGAGAGAGAGAGAGAGAGAGAGAGAGAGAGAGAGAGATCAAAGCACTATGTTTGATAACAGTAAAACTTAAACAAGCTGTATAATATAACCAAGAAAGGTAAGTATAATGAATAAACAAATACGCATTATTTATGCTTACAGCGTCAGCTGACGCATCAGCTGAGGCGTAGTGACGTGGACCGCCACCAGTGGGCCACCAGGAGACGAACCCCAATTTCGGATCTTCCGGTTAGACAAGATAAAGTCGAGGATAGCTTGGACTGGGTAAGGGGTATTTTCCTGGTATATTCCTGGCGGCTCGGTATCATCAGTACTTGTGTGCTTCTGGTGTTTTGTTGAAAAATAGGAATAAAACAGTAGGCCTATACAAGGCGAGTCTTTCTCGAACCCCCATCAACGCATCATCCATCTATCATCCATCCATCATCCATCATCATCCATCCATCATCCATCATCATCCATCCATCATTTATCATCATCCATCCATCATCCATCAAGGCAGGACGCGCCTCGTCACGTCGAGACGCTTCTGAAACAATTTTTGCAGATTTGGTTCATTAGGCAACGATTGTTTTCACCAGGAAGCAAGGGAATTTATTTTTTTGATATCTTTGAGGAATAACTGCCTAGCATGGACCAGTAGGCCTGCTGCCGTGCTCCTACAGCTTTATATTCTTACCTTCTTAGTTAGTTAGTTAAAGATCAGCCGGTATTCTCCCGGCCCGGGCCTTTTCCAAGTGGTGGCCCGGCCTTGGCTCCCTCTTTAGGGAGTGTCTGAGACCTAAGCCTCCCATGGGAGGAGGCACAAGTACCTCCTCATCTTTGGGACAAACTGTCCCCAGGCCTAGCCACAAGCTAGGCCTCTCTGGTCTGCCATCCCCGCCCCAAGGGGGCAAATGGGAATGACAGTCTTATGAGCTAAAAGGCTCGGGCTCAGGCACCTACCCTACCCTAGAAGGGCTGGGCATGGTGTCGATCTCTTACCTTCTTTAGGTTACCCCTAAGATAAAGCTACCCAGGAGTTGCATATGTATTTAATTTGTCCACGAGTTCAAGTCAGCCAGAGTTACTCCTGTTCTTAAGGAAATACCTGGAGTATACCTGGAGAGGGTTTCAGGGGGTCAACTCACCCCGCGGCCTGGTCTGTGAAAAGGCATCGCGATGGATCAGAGCCTGATCAACCAGGCTATTACTGCTGGCCACAAGTAAACCGTCGTAGGAACCACAGTCCGACTGGTCAGGTACTGACTTTAGGTGTCTGTCCAGCTCCTTGAAGACAGCCAGGGGTCTATTGGTAATCCCCCTTATTTATGCTGGGAGGGATGTTACTATCAGACGTAACTTAGGATAACTAGTGGGTTGTCTTAAGTTATGTAATTTACACATATGTTACTGTTTATGATAATTATACTTACGTGTACATGTGCCTTTTATAGATAAAAGATAATGGGCCAGCCATTAACACTTTTGTACCCTCAAACCCATTGTAAAACTACAACCGGGTGTCCCCCGTGTCCCGTGGCCTGGTAGGTAAAGCTCTGGCTTCACACGCTGAGTGTCCGTGGTTCGATCCCCGGCAAGGGTAGAAACATTAGGCGTGTTTCCTCACACCTTTTGACCCCGTTCACCTAGCATGTAAGTAGGTACCTGAGTGTTAGTTGACTGGTGTGGGTGGCATCCTGGGGGACAAGACTGAAGGACCACAATGGAAATAAGTTGCACTGCCTTTCTTGGGTTACCCTTGGTGACCAAATGTTATCTTATCTAATGTTCGCTTATAAATCTTAAATTTTAACATTCTTTATAATAGTTAACCTGACATAAATTCCATTTTCTGTAATAAAAATTGTTACAGAAAATGAAATTTATTGAGACAACCCCAACATAAATATTTTTTCTTAGGGTAACAAAGCGAAATTTATTAAAAAAATAATACTGACATCAGATTGGATAATAATAATAATGATAATAATAATAATAATAATAATAATAATAATAATAATAATAATAATAATAATGATCATTGTTTATAGATCGCTCAGCGCGCTGAAGGACCCCTTCAGGCGGGTGATCCTAGGTTAGTGGACCTCTTGAGGAGTCGTTACCTTCATCCTCCTGACGACCTTCCCTACGACCTGAAGGAGGACGTCTTGGGTCGTGAGAATCTCTATATGAGATACAAGATAATCTACCCGTCCTGGGTGTTTATTAACGGCATCTTAAAGGAACTGTTTAGCCAGGACACCGCAAGAGGCGATGCGCGGATCTTCGTGGAGGCTGGAGCCCTTGATGGCGAGTATCTATCTAACACACTATGGCTAGAGCGGCGGCTAGGATGGACGGGGTTGCTGATAGAAGCAGAGGCGGATAGTTACATCGCTCTCAGGAGGAAGCACAGGCGAGTCTGGTCTTCCCCTGGGTGTCTAGCCACAAGGGATTATGCTCACAGCGTGGTGCTAACCTCTTTCAGGAAGGATGGTGCGTCATCTGAGTGGACAGACAGAGGAGCTGCCAGGATAGAGGAGGTGAGGGAGGAATTTCTGGAGGATACTAGTGATATTTGATCATTAGGTGGTGATACTCTTATTGATAATACTGTTATAATCAGTCATGCTATAATTATTGTTTATCTCATTCCTTTTTTTCATTCTTCATTCCTTTCCTCTGCTTCTTCTTCTTTCCCAATTTTACCGCCCTCCTCTTACCTTTTTTTCCTTGCCTCATTTCTTCTTCCTTCCCTCTTCCTCCTCCCATTTCCAAATTCTTATCTCTTTCGTTTCGTCTCTCCTGCTTTTCTCTCTCTCTCTCTCTCTCTCTCTCTCTCTCTCTCTCTCTCTCTCTCTCTCTCTCTCTCTCCTCTCTCTCTCTCTCTCTCTCTCTCTCAGAGACCGGTGGAGGCCGTGGATGGTCCGGGCTACAAGACCTATCACACAGCTCAGTGTTTCCCCGCCCTTACATACTTCCTGGCACTCAACATCACCCGGGTTCACTTCTTTAGCCTCGACGTCGAGGGCGTCGAGATGGAAGTCCTACGCTCCTTTCCCTTCGACAGGATCACCGTCGACGTGTGGGCTATCGAGCACATAGGCAGCCCTAAGCACACAGCCACACCTATCAACGTCACCGTCGGCGTTTCCAAGTCTTTACGAACCTCCATTACCTCCCAAATCTCATCCAATTTGTCCTCCTCCAACGACGCTTCTGCTTCAGTTGGTTCCTCCTCTCAGAAGCTTTCGAAATTTGAGGACCCAGACTTCATTGCCTTCATGGAGGCTCGCGGCTACTACCTCTTCGACGTCTTCTGTCAGATCATTCCCGACTACGTCTTCATCAGACGGGGCAGCGATGTCTTCAAACGGCTGAGTGTCCCCGAACGTTTGTGGACACGTCGAAATCTCTGTTTACACAAGTCGTCCTGGGAGGCTAACACGAAGGTTTTCCAGCCCAGGCTGCACCGAGACAGGCGCCACTGGCCGAAACTGGTGTACGGGGATTGATGTACATGGACTGGTGTACAAGGGCTGGTGTACAGAGGCTGGTGTACAGAGACCGATGTACAGGGGCTGGTGTATAGGGGCTGGTATACAGAGGGTCGTGTACTGGGACTAAATCCACGTGCGTCTTTCAGAGAAAGGTGTAGTCGAAGTTTGATCTTCGACCACAGGTTGCTGGTACTTCCGGGTTGTGTTATACACAGGTTATGGTGAACATGCGAGGGTTGTATCTGTATATACTAATGACTGTATACATAACTTGTGATGTTTAGAATATATGGACAGGGAAGGTAGTACACATGAATGTGTGTGATGATTGTCATTTGATTGAATACTTGAGTGTATCACATCAGTGAGTGTAATATTTGAGTGTATTTTGGCGGATTCCTCAAGTGCTATTGAAGTGTGTTACATGTACCAATAAAACACCTCACTAGCCAAATAAGTAAATATTAAAGAAGAATTAAAACACACTTAAGGCACTTCCTCCCACCTTGAAGACGGTCTTATTTACAGAGCGAAATACATCACAATCCTTTTTTTTTGGGTTTTATTTTCCCCATGTAAATTCCAATACACACACACCACACACACACACCACACACACACACACACACACACACACACATATATATATATATATTATATATATATATATATATATATTATATTATATATATATATATATGTGTGTGTGTGTGTGTGTGTATGTATGTATATATATATAAGTGCACATACGTTCTTAGTGTAAATAAATATGCATACTCCACACATATATGTATGATATTCAATCGATTGAATTATTAAATTATAATTCTGAGGAATCGTATCTGTAATGCCCATACAATGTCTCTGTGTATATACACTGAGAAGTGTATATCTCAGTCTACATACACAGTTTACGTCAAATTCTGTTTAGGGATAAAAGTATTCTAGATGCTAGTGTAGAGGTGAACTGTAGCCTTGATGACCCAGGTGTAGTACACAGTCATTACACCTCACTAACAACACTGCTACACACCTCACTAACAACACTGCTACACACCTCACTAACAACACTGCTACACACCTCACTAACAACTCTGCTACACACCTCACTAACAACACTGCTACCCACCTCACTAACAACACTGCTACACACCTCACTAACAACACTGCTACACACCTCACTAACAACACTGCTACACACCTCACTAACAACTCTGCTACACACCTCACTAACAACACTGCTACCCACCTCACTAACAACACTGCTACACACCTCACAACAACAACAACTGCTACACACCTCACTAACAACACTGCTACACACACTCACTAGCAACTCTGCTACACACCTCACTAACAACACTGCTACACACCTCACTAACAACTCTGCTACTCACCTCACTAACAACTCTGCTACCCACGTCACTAACAACACTGCTACACACCTCAATAACAACACTGCTACACACTTCACTAACAACTCTGCTACACACTTCACTAACAACACTGCTACACACTTCACTAACAACTCTGCTACACACCTCACTAACAACACTGCTACACACCTCACTAGCAACTCTGCTACACACCTCACTAACAACACTGCTACACACCTCACTAACAACACTGCTACCCACCTCACTAACACTCTGCACCCACTCCTAACAACACTGTACACACCTCACTAACAACACGCTACACACTTCACTAACAACTCTGCACACACCTCACTAACAACACTGCTACACACCTCACTAGCAACTTGCTACACACCTCCTAACAACACTGCTACACCCTCACTAACAACTCTGCTAATCACCTCACTAACAAACTCTGCTACCCACTCACTAACACTACTGCTACCACCTCACTAACAACTCTGCTACACACCTCACTAACAACACTGCTACACCTCACTAGCAACTCTGCTACCACCTCAAAAAACACTGCTACACACCTCACAAAACAACTCTGCTACACACCTCACTAAAAACACTGCAACACACCTCACTAACAACTCGCTACACACCTCACTAACAACTCTGCTACAACACTTCACTAACAACTCTGCTACACCCCTCACTAACAACACTGCTACCCACCTCACTAACAACTCTGCTACACACCTCACTAAACAACTCTGCTATCACCTCACTAACAACCCCTACACACCTCACTAACAACTCTGTACTCCCCCTCACTAACAACCTGCTACACACCTCATAACAACTCTGCTACTCACCCACTAACAACCCTATACCTCACAAACAACTCTGTACCCACCTCACTAACAACTCTACACACCTCACTAAACAACTCTGCTACTCACCTCACTAACAACTCTGCTACACACCTCACTAACAACTCTGCTACTCACCTCACTAACAACTCTACATACCTCACTAACAACTCTGCTACACACCTCACTAACAACACTGCTCACACCTCACAAACAACTCTGCTCCCACACTTCACAAACAACTCTGCTACACACTCACTAACAACCTATACTACACCTCACAAAAAACTCTGTAAAAATATCTCAACTAACAACTCTGCTACACACCTCACTAACAACACTGCTACACACCTCACTAACAATCTACACCCACCTCACTAACAACACTGCTACACACCTCACTAACAACACTGCTACACACCTCACTAACACACTGCTCCCAAAACCTCACTAACAACCTGCTACCCACCTCACTAACAACACTCTACCCACCTCACTTAAACAACACTGGTACCCACCTCACTAACAACACTGCTACACACCTCACAAAACCTGCTACACACCTCACTAACAAAAATGTCCCCACCTCACAAAACAACCTGCTACACCCCTCACTAACAACATGCTACACCCCTACTAACAACACTGCTACACACCTCACTAACAACTCTGCTACTCACCTCACTAACAACTCTGCTACCCACGCCACTAAAAAACAACTGCACACACTCAAAACAACCTGCTAAAACACTTCACTAAACAACTTGCACACACTTCACTAACAACACTGCTACCACTTCACTAACAACATTTGCTACACACCTCACTAACAACACTGCTACACACCTCACTAGCAACCTGCTACACCTCACTAACAAACACTGCTACCACCTCCTAACAACACTGCTACCCACCTCACTAACAACCTGTACCCACCTCACTAACAACATTGCTACACACCTCACTAACAACACTGCTACACACTCACTAACAACTCGGGCTACACACCTCACTAACAACACTGCTAACACTTCACTAACAACTCTGCTACACCCCTCATAACAACACTGCTACACACCTCACTAGCAACCGGGCTACACACCTCACTAACAACACTGCTACACACCTCACTAACAACACTGCTACCCACCTCACTAACAACTCGGCTACCCACCTCATACAAACCCGGGCTACACCCTCACTAACAACACTGCTACACACTTCACTAACAACTCTGCTACACACCTCACTAACAACATGCTACACACCTCACGCAAACTCTGCAAACACACCTCACTAACAACACTGCTACAACACTCACAAACAACTCTGCTAACCCACCTCACTAACAACTTGCTACCCACGTCACTAACAAACTGCACACACTCAAAACCCACTACTGCTACACACCTCACTAACAACACTGCTACCACCTCACTACAACTCTGCTACACACCCACTAACAACACTGCTACACACCTCACTAACAACTCTGCTACACACCTCACTAACAACACTGCCTACTCACCCACTAACAACTCGTACACACCTCACAAACAACTCTGCTCCCACCTCACTAACAACTGTTTCACACCTCACTAACAACACTGCTACTCATCTCACTAACAACTTGCTACACCCTCACTAACAACTCTGCTACTCACCCTAACAACTCTACACACCTCATAACAACTCTGCTACTCACCTCATAACAACACTGCTACACACCTCACTAACATCTGTACTCACCTCACTAACAACTCTACATACCTCACTAACAACTCTGCTACTCACCTCACTAACAACTCTACACACCTCACTAACAACTCTGCTACTCACCTCACTAACAACTCTGCTACACACCTCACTAACAACTCTGCTACTCACCTCACTAACAACTCTACATACCTCACTAACAACTCTGCTACACACCTCACTAACAACACTGCTACACACCTCACAAACAACTCTGCTACACACTTCACAAACAACTCTGCTACACATCTCACTAACAACTCTACTACACACCTCACAAACAACTCTGCTACATATCTCACTAACAACTCTGCTACACACCTCACTAACAACACTGCTACACCCCTCACTAAACAACTCTACTACCCACCTCACTAACAACACTGCTACACACCTCACTACACACGGGCTCACACCTCACTAACAACACTGCTACACACCTCACTAACAACACTGCTACCCACCCCCACTAACAACACTGCTACCCACCTCACTAAAAACACTGGTACCCACCTCACTACAACACTGCTACACACCTCACTAACAACACTGCTACACACCTCACTAACAACACTGGTCCCCAACCTCACTAACAACACTGCTACACACCTCTAACAACACTGCTACAACCTCACTAAAAACACTGCTACACCCCTCACTAACAACACTGCTACACACCTCACTAACAACACTGCTACCACCTCACAAAACAACACTGCTACACACCTCACTAACAACATGCTACACACCTCACTAACAACACTGCTACACACCTCACTAACAACACTGCTACCCACCTCACTAACAACACTGCTACACACCTACTAACAACACTGGTACCCACCTCCCAACAACTCTGCTACCACCTCACTAACACACTGCTACACACCTCACTAACAACACTGCTACACACCTCACTAACAACACTGCTACACACCTCACTAACAACACTGCTACACACCTCACTAACAACACTGCTACACACCTCACTAACAACACTGCTCCCCACCTCATAACAACCTGCTACACACCTCATAACAACACTGGTACCCACCTCACCAACAACACTGCTACACACCTCACTAACAACACTGCTACCACCTCACTAACAACACATTGCTACACACCCACTAACAACACTGCTACACACCTCACTAACAACACTGCTACACACCTCACTAACAACACTGCTACACACCTCACAAACAACACTGCTACACACCTCACTAACAACACTGCTACCCACCTCACTAACAACACTGCTACACACCTCACTAACAACACTGGTACCCACCTCACCAACAACACTGCTACACACCTCACTAACAACACTGCTACACACCTCACTAACAACACTGCTACACACCTCACTAACAAAAATGCTACACACCTCACTAACAACACTGCTACACACCTCACTAACAACACTGCTACACACCTCACTAACAACACTGCTACACACCTCACTAACAACACTGCTACACACCTCACTAACAACACTGCTACACCCCTCACCAACAACACTGCTACACACCTCACTAACAACACTGCTACACACCTCATAACAACACTGCTACACACCTCACTAACAAAAACTGCTACACACCTCACTAACAACATGTACACCCTCACTACACAGCACAATCCCCTAACAACAACACTGCTACACACCTCACTAACAACACTGCTACACACCTCACTAACAACACTGCTACACACCTCACTAACAACACTGCTACACACCTCACTAACAACACTGCTACACACCTCACTGACTGAAAGATGGTGAAGTCTAAGCCACAATTAACACAAATTGAAGAAAGTCGACGTTTTGATTTAATTTACACCAGTATCTTGAGCTGATGATGGTCTGAAGCGGCCCGAAACTTTTCATTTCAGGACATAGTTGTGAATTACAGAATGTTTTATATATACTTCTATATACTTGAATATTCGAATTAAAGTGATATGTGCGTTAGCACAGTGTATATACATCTCCAGGTGTATACTCATCTACAGGCGTATATACACTGAGATGAATACATTTCTCCTACAGTTAGTAAGGTATACTATCAGCTCCCTCCAAGAGGCGACCTAGAACAGTCTACTGACATCCAGGTACCTATCTGCTACTATGTGAACAAGCTCAGCAAGTGCAAGGGAACTTGATCATACGTCTTGCCCTGTCTAGGACGCATTCCACCCACAACTGTCAATGAATACCCCAGGAACCTATTTACTGGAAGGTGAACAGGTGCAAACGGCGTAGGGGACTGATCTATGAGTTACTTCCTCCTGGAAATAGAACTCGAGGTTGGAGCGATGGGCCTCTGAGATACATGTTGGCATCAGGGTGAACGAACGAGGCACTCAGTTCTGTGACCCACTTCCTGCATGCACACAGCACATGCGTTGTGGTACACCGCATGCCGACACAGGAACCTGCTCATCAGATTGGGTTCGAAGCCCTGTGAGTCCTTACTCGAAGCCTTCGAACTGGCAGTCGAAGAAAGTGTGTCTGTGGAATCCTCCGTGAAGGATGCTGAAGAGAAGCCATCTAGACCATCCTCTGAAGGGATTCGGGGCGCTGAAGAATACACATCTTGCTGCACTGATGGCAGGGAAGTAGGATTTCTTGTAGTGTTGCTCGAGAAACTTTTGAAGTGTGAGGTCACAGTAGAGACTCTCAAGGAAGGAGATGACTCCCGCGAAGAACTGGAATTATATTTTTTGTTTACATATGGGGGTGTAATGGAGAAAGTTTGCTTCGAGGACTTGAGGTAGGGAGGATGAGGAGCGCTGGAGTGGTGGAATGACATAAGTGGAGCACCGGGTTGTGAAGATGGAATAGAAGGTCCTGAGGTCGAGGTCAGAGGTGTTGCGAAGCGCGGAGAGTCTGGATGATAAAATGACAAGAAATCTTGGGAGTCTTGAGATACAATTGTCGGGAAAGTTAAACGGCTTGGTACATACGTCGGCAGTTTATGAGAGCTGGACAGGTAATGCGCCGGTGGTCGCGCTAGTTCCAGACCGAAGCCAAAAGTTGGCTTTTTAGATGTGTTTTCTGTATGTTTATTACCAGTTGACATCCGTAAAGAACTCTGAGATAAACCAGCGAGAAGTTTCGAAGTCGGAGAAATTTCGTCCTTGAAAATAAATGGGTCTACAGTGTTTCCATATACAGGTGTAGGAGTTAAAGTAGAGTGTTCCACGGCGGAGAAATGTAAATATTTACTGATGTTTTCTGAAGGTGTTCTCGAAAATGTATCTGACATATCAGCAGCGGAAGAAAGTGCATTCTTTTTCTCTGAGGAGACAAAAGAGTGACCGTCAGACACCAACTGAGTTCCCAAACTGCTTCTTCTTTGTATCTGTTGAATCTTCTTGCTTCCTTGAGCGGGAAGACTTGGGTTTCTGGCCATTGAGCTGGAGACCTCAACTCTGTACTTACTGCTGCTGGTCCACTCTCCGGACACTCCTGAGTGAGTCTTGCTGACAGAGTTAGGCGTCGATACCTCACTCTGAGAATAAGTGCTGGTTTCCACATATGGTGCAACTTGGTAAGTGCTTATCGCTGGGGAGAAAGTCCTTTCTGAGTTTCCTGCATGTACATCTAGCGAGGGGGAGAGTGAGTTTTGAGGACCAATGTTGATTGAAGTTGATTCTGTAGTCTGGAGTCTATTGTTGGGGTCAGCTTTTGAAGAAGACTCGCTGTTATCTGATATAAAACTCCAGGTAGACAGCCTTCCGGCTGCTGTGGTCACCTCGTGTTTGAGATGCTGTTGTGGTGGTGGTGGCTCGAGGATACCCTTCCGAAGACCATCCGATGGTAAGTGATCTGTCTGTTCTAGGTCTCTCAACAGCATGCCTCCAGTGATCTTCGATCTGTAATTATTGCCGTATCTGGAAACTTGTTGGGGTCTGAAAAGTGTCTGAGTTCTGACTCCTTCACTGTCTCTGCTTACACTCTTGGTCGGGTCAGCAGAGTTCTGTTGATCACCATCTGTGCTTGAGGTGTCCAAGTCAACTGTTGTAAGTTTGTTTTTCCAAGAGCTGAGTTTGGAAAAAATCTTCACGAGCATGTTATTTTCGCGGCTTTCTTCTGCTACATGTTTATGGCCTGATATCTTAAAAGAATCCTTAACTACGTCAGGAATCAGCGTTTCAGGTATCATCAGTTTATCCAGAGGTATTGTGGAATTTAGGTTGGCCAACAGCTTCTCTAAGAAATTATCAAGTTTTGTTAGTGTGTCGTGGTGTAGTAATTCCACTGGCAGACTTGTATCACCCTGACCACCTTCCTGTACGTTTCCAGAGGTTGAACTCTCCTCTCCCTGAGCCTGTCCTGGACTGTAAACACTGGGGAACCTTGGGTAATTATGACTAAACTCGTCTTCTTCAACATTCAGCGTCTCTGTGTCTTGTTGATCAAGAGGACCTGAACCAATACTCTCGCGTCTCTCCGTGTTAGACACTTCATACTGTTGAAGGTTCTTATGTTGACCTTGCAGGGAGACCAACTCTTGCTGCGCCAGCTTCACCAGAGTGTCGAAGGTCTGCGCATCTACGTCATCACTTACATCATACTCGAAGTAGTCGCTGTGGGAGTAATCATCTTGGTGTTGGGGTTGATCAGTTGAATAGTAATTGTGCTGAAACTGGTGTTCTGGAAATTTGTGATTTATTTCGAAGGAAGAAATCTTATCCTCTTGAAGGACTTTATCACCTGAGCTAGGCTGTTGTTCTGTCACTGAAAGCGCTACGACATCTTTGGTCGATACTTGACTGCTATGATCCTTTGTCAATCCTGCTTTGATCGGCTGGACATGAACCTGTGTGTTTGGTCTGTACTCCGGAGTCATGTAGTAACTCGGGCTGGGAAAGCGACCTGGCAAAACTGACTCAAAGTTAGGTCTTCCCAGTACCTGGCCTGGGAGAACGAGAGGCGCTCCTGGTCTCTCATCCCTGACAACATCAAAATCGTAATTTGGATAATACTCATAATCGTCATCTTCGCTTTGGTTTTGTGCCGAAGAAGGACTGCCATATGTTCCAGTATTTCCAGCGGGTCTAACAGGGAAACTACTTGAAATCAGTTGATAGTTTCCCTGAGGTTTCGGAGTACTTGACTTCTGGTATATCCCTGATGCCTTTAATGCAGGATGTCCTTGAAGATTTGACTCTTCTGGTATATTTACATTGGGTCTCGTTGCGAAACTATTTAATATCAGTTGATAGTTGACCTGGGGTTTTGGAGTACTTGGCTTCTGATATATTCCTGATCCTTCTGTCAGATGGGGTTTTGGAGTACTTGACTTCTGATATATTCCTGAGCCTTCTGTCAGATGGGGTTTTGGAGTACTTGACTTCTGATATATTCCTGAGCCTTCTGTCAGATGGGGTTTTGGAGTACTTGACTTCTGATATATTCCTGAGCCTTCTGTCAGATGGGGTTTTGGAGTACTTGGCTTCTGATATATTCCTGAGCCTTCTGTCAGATGGGGTTTTGGAGTACTTGACTTCTGATATATTCCTGAGCCTTCTGTCAGATGGGGTTTTGGAGTACTTGACTTCTGATATATTCCTGAGCCTTCTGTCAGATGGGGTTTTGGAGTACTTGGCTTCTGATATATTCCTGAGCCTTCTGTCAGATGGGGTTTTGGAGTACTTGACTTCTGATATATTCCTGAGCCTTCTGTCAGATGGGGTTTTGGAGTACTTGGCTTCTGATATATTCCTGAGCCCTCTATTATAGGAACACCTTCAAGACTCGGCTCTTCTGGCAGATACGGCTTTGATATTACAGTCCAGTACGTGGAAGGGCGTTTATCATTCTCATGCATGTCTGGATATTGAGTTCCAATGTGTTGAGAGTGAGGAACATCAGGCTGATACGTCGAAATGTAAGCGTGACTGACTGTGTCGATGGGAAGCAACTGCCCGTCCCCCATCACCACAGAAATGATGTCTGTTGGCTTCACTGAAGAGATGCTTGCAGCGATCGTGATCAAGTGAGGTCTTAGGTTCTGCACGACTAGTATTGTAGGCACACTCGCGACGTCATCAGAAGGGCCATGTAACAAGACGTTAGTGTCAGGAAAGGCGTTCAAGGTTGACATAGCAACGGGACTGTAGCTATGATCTGGGAGACTTAATTGTGGCGTAGCAAAGTAACTAGCAGTTGCTGAGACCTGAGTCGTCTGAGGATCCCAGACAGATCCATATAGGTGGGTGCTTGGGACAGCAGGTGTTCCAGGTGGTTTCACCGCTCCCAGCAAGTGACTCTGAGGATCAGCATTCTCGTCCTCGTCAGAGGCGGACTGGTCCGTCGTCAACTTGTTCTTGGAAGGAAGCGTGAGGTTCATGAGGTTTTCTAGAGACAGTGAGGAGAGATCAATGGACGCGGGAACGGGGTTAATCACTATAGAATCGTCGGCCTCATCGCCCATCGGATTCTCTGCTACTCTTATTATTGGTGTCCCAGTCTTGTTAACTCCTCGCTGGACTTTTCTCTTGGCGTTTATAGTCTTGCCAGACGACATGGGCCTGAAGACGTACCCGACGTATGCCCCAAGTAACATGGCTGCGGAGAGGGCAATCTCACGGAGAGAGTTGCTTTTCCGACCCACACTATAATCCTGAGTTCTAAACTCACTAGTCTTGTTATCGTCTGTCTGAGTATCACTCATTCCATGATCGTCTACTGGAATACCACTCGATTCCTCTGTTTTAACATCACTCACAAAATGGTTGCCTTTTATAGAGGTATTAACCACATGGATTCGAAAGCCACCAGTATATATAGGTTCAACCGTTCGAAAATCACTCACTACGTGGATAACCGTTCGGTTACGGGTCTCTTCGCCAACGAAGCCATTTGCTTCTTGGTTCTCATGGTCTTGGGGGAGAGATCGTCTGGGCCTAATCTCCCTGTCCTCATTCCATGGAGGAATATCTGTGAGAGACGTCACTGTTGCGTCTCTGGGTAGCAAGAGTTCTTGCACCCTCTCAGTGACATCGAGATCGCTTGGTTGGTACCTCGCGGTGACCTCAGCAAGGTCACCAGGCGGGCTGGTGTCAGCACCCACCGCAGAGAAGATCATGAACAGGATCGTCAGCACTGACACGAGCAAAGACAGGTGGCCGTAAGGTTGCCCGAGCATATCAGCGGAGAGAAACGAAGTCCTGTCTAGCAGAGTAGACTGTGGCTTCGAAGGATGGGTCGGGGATCTGTTTTTGGTTTGCTGCGGAGCTCTGTACGCAAAGTAATTTATACTGCCGAGGTTGTCATACTTACTAATATCTTTGTCGTTTCTGACATGATTATTATCGTCGTGGGTATTATTGAGGCTACTGACAAAGGTCCTTCTGGAGAACGTGGATGGGGTAGTGTAGCTGAAGGTGTTGGCAGCACTCTCGTCTCCCCAACGATGGTTACTGGCGTACCGGGGGTCGAACCAGAGGCCGGGATTGAGAGCGTACCACCACTGTTTGTCTTGTCTTGTCCACCCACTAGGGTCTCCTCGGGGTCGTTCGAGGTTACCTTTACCACCTTGTGGTGATGTGCCGCCGTCGAGACCCCAAGGTCGTGTCAGGTCACCATTGGTTCCGAAAGGTCCCAGGTCTGTAATTACAGTTTCGGGTCGCCTCAGGCCATTCTGATGTTTCGTCTGATCATAAAAAACATCGTCGGGGTTTTCTACATCACCAAGACCACCGAGAGGTCGTCTCAGTCCACCATTAAATCCCTGAGGTCCACTCAGGTGGTCAAAAACACCTCCAGGTGGTCGTTCAAGGCCACCCACGGCACTTCGATGTCGCCTTAGATCATCCTGAATGCCTCGGGGTCTTCTGAGACGCTGAAGAAATGCCCAAGTCACTCCAGAATTCCCAGCATCATCAGCCTCCTCACTCTGCATCATCCGATCATGAGGTCGACGTGAGATGAGGACACTAGCCTTGACTTGAGACCAGGTCAAGGTCACCACCACCATCAAGGTCACCAGAGATTCCCTCAAAATCATGCCTGTAAGGAGAAGGAATATGTTAGTCTACAGTCTAAGGACTGTAAGAGGGTCAGTAAGGCTGCAAATAGATCGCATACAAACTTTCTTCTGAATAATAATAATAATAATAATAATAATAATAATAATAATAATAATAATAAATGCACACACACACACACATACACTATAAACGTAATCTACAAGTAACTCATGGTTCAGCATGGACCGGGAGGACACTCAAATATCGTTTGTGTTTTTTCCAGTCAAGTTATTTTGACTGTTTGAGTCATGGTATTGTGACTGAGTCATGGTCATGTTTAAGTCATGGTATCGTGACAGTGTAAGTAATGGTATCGTGACTGTTTAAGTCATGGTATCGTGACAGTATAAGTCATGGTATCGTGACTGTTTAAGTCATGGTATCGTGACTGTTTAAGTCATGGTATCGTGACAGTGTAAGTAATGGTATCGTGACTGTTTAAGTCATGGTATCGTGACAGTATAAGTCATGGTATCGTGACTGTTTAAGTCATGGTATCGTGACTGTTTAAGTCATGGTATCGTGACAGTGTAAGTCATGGTATCGTGACTGTTTAAGTCATGGTATCGTGACAGTGTAAGTCATGATATCGTGACTGTTTAAGCCATGGTATCGTGACAGTGTAAGTCATGGTATCGTGACAGTGTAAGTCATAGCATCGTCACTGTTTAAGTCATGGTATCGTGACAGTGTAAGTCATGGTATCGTGACAGTGTAAGTCATGGTATCGTGACTGTGTAAGTCATGGTATCGTGACTGTTTAAGTCATGGTATCGTGACAGTGTAAGTCATGGTATCGTGACAGTATAAGTCATGGTATCGTGACAGTGTAAGTCATAGTATCGTGACTGTTTAAGTCATGGTATCGTGACAGTGTAAGTCATGGTATCGTGACAGTGTAAGTCATGGTATCGTGACAGTGTAAGTCATGGTATCGTGACTGTTTAAGTCATGGTATCGTGACAGTGTAAGTCATGGTATCGTGACAGTGTAAGACATGGTATCGTGACAGTGTAAGTCATGGTATCGTGACTGTTTAAGTCATGGTATCGTGACAGTGTAAGTCATGGTATCGTGACAGTGTAAGTAATGGTATCATGACAGTGTAAGTCATGATATCGTGACAGTGTAAGTCATGGTATCGTGACAGTGTAAGTCATGGTATCGTGACAGTGTAAATCATGGTATCGTGACAGTGTAAGTCATGATATCGTGACAGTGTAAATCATGGTATCGTGACAGTGTAAGTCATGGTATCGTGACAGTGTAAGTCATGGTATCGTGACAGTGTAAGTCATGGTATCGTGACTGTTTAAGTCATGGTATCGTGACAGTGTAAGTTATGGTATCGTGACTGTTTAAGTCATGGTATCGTGACAGTGTAAGTCATGGTATCGTGACTGTTTAAGTCATGGTATCGTGACAGTGTAAGTAATGGTATCGTGACTGTTTAAGTCATGGTATCGTGACAGTGTAAGTCATAGTATCGTGACTGTTTAAGTCATGGTATCGTGACAGTGTAAGTCATGGTATCGTGACAGTGTAAGTCATGGTATCGTGACAGTGTAAGTCATGGTATCGTGACAGTGTAAGTCATGGTATCGTGACAGTGTAAGTCATGGTATCGTGACATTGTAAGTCATGATATCGTGACAGTGTAAGTCATGGTATCGTGACAGTGTAAGTCATGGTATCGTGACAGTGTAAAGTCATGGTATCGTGACAGTGTAAGTCATGGTATCGTGACAGTGTAAGTCATGGTATCGTGACAGTGTAAGTCATGATATCGTGACAGTGTAAGTCATGGTATCGTGACAGTGTAAGTCATGGTATCGTGACAGTGTAAGTCATGGTATCGTGACAGTGTAAGTCATGGTATCTTGACAGTGTAAGTCATGGTATCGTGACTGTGTAAGCCATGGTATCGTGACTGTTCAAGTCATGCTATCGTGACAGTGTAAGTCATGGTATCGTGACAGTATAAGTCATGGTATCGTGACAGTGTAAGTCATGGTATCGTGACAGTGTAAGTCATGATATCGTGACAGTGTAAGTCATGGTATCGTGACAGTGTAAGTCATGATATCGTGACTGTGTAAGCCATGGTATCGTGACTGTTTAAGTCATGATATCGTGACTGTTTAAGTCATGGTATCGTGACAGTGTAAGTCATGGTATCGTGACAGTGTAAGTCATGGTATCGTGACTGTGTAAGCCATGGTATCGTGACTGTTCAAGTCATGCTATCGTGACAGTGTAAGTCATGGTATCGTGACTGTTTAAGTCATGGTATCGTGACAGTGTAAGTCATGGTATCGTGACAGTGTAAGTCATGGTATCGTGACTGTGTAAGCCATGGTATCGTGACTGTTCAAGTCATGCTATCGTGACAGTGTAAGTCATGGTATCGTGACAGTATAAGTCATGGTATCGTGACAGTGTAAGTCATAGTATCGTGACTATTTAAGTCATGGTATCGTGACAGTGTAAGTCATGGTATCGTGACTGTTTAATTCATGGTATCGTGACAGTGTAAGTCATGGTATCTTGACAGTGTAAGTCATGGTATCGTGACTATTTAAGTCATGGTATCGTGACAGTGTAAGTCATGGTATCGCGACTGTTTAAGTCATGGTATCGTGACAGTGTAAGTCATGGTATCGTGACAGTGTAAGTCATGGTATCGTGACTGTTTAAGTCATGGTATCGTGACAGTGTAAGTCATAGTATCGTGACTGTTTAAGTCAAGGTATCGTGACAGTGTAAGTCATGGTATCGTGACAGTGTAAGTCATGGTATCGTGACATTGTAAGTCATGGTATCGTGACAGTGTAAGTCATGGTATCGTGACAGTGTAAGTCATGGTATCGTGACAGTGTAAGTCATGATATCGTGACAGTGTAAGTCATGGTATCGTGACAGTGTAAGTCATGGTATCGTGACAGTGTAAGTCATGGTATCGTGACAGTGTAAGTCCTGGTATCGTGACAGTGTAAGTCATGGTATCATGACAGTGTAAGTCATGGTATCGTGACAGTGTAAGTCATGGTATCGTGACAGTGTAAGTCATGGTATCGTGACAGTGTAAGTCATGGTATCGTGACAGTGTAAGTCATGATATCGTGACAGTGTAAGTCATGGTATCGTGACAGTGTAAGTCATGATATCGTGACAGTGTAAGTCATGATATCGTGACAGTGTAAGTCATTTTATCATGACAGTGTAAGTCATGGTATCGTGACAGTGTAAGTCATGGTATCGTGACAGTGTAAGTCATGGTATCGTGACAGTATAAGTCATGGTATCGTGACAGTGTAAGTCATGGTATCGTGACAGTGTAAGTCATGGTATCGTGACAGTGTAAGTCATGATATCGTGACAGTGTAAGTCATGATATCGTGACAGTGTAAGTCATGGTATCGTGACAGTGTAAGTCATGGTATCGTGACAGTGTAAGTCATGGTATCGTGACAGTGTAAGTCATGGTATCGTGACAGTGTAAGTCATGGTATCGTGACTGTTTAAGTCATGGTATCGTGACAGTGTAAGTCATGGTATCGTGACTGTTTAAGTCATGGTATCGTGACAGTGTAAGTCATGGTATCGTGACTGTTTAAGTCATGGTATCGTGACAGTGTAAGTCATGGTATCGTGACAGTGTAAGTAATGGTATCGTGACTGTTTAAGTCATGGTATCGTGACAGTGTAAGTCATAGTATCGTGACTGTTTAAGTCATGGTATCGTGACAGTGTAAGTCATGGTATCGTGACAGTGTAAGTCATGGTATCGTGACAGTGGAAGTCATGGTATCGTGACAGTGTAAGTCATGGTATCGTGACAGTGTAAGTCATGGTATCGTGACAGTGTAAGTCATGATATCGTGACAGTGTAAGCCATGGTATCGTGACAGTGTAAGTCATGGTATTGTGACAGTGTAAGTCATGGTATCGTGACAGTGTAAGTCCTGGTATCGTGACAGTGTAAGTCATGGTATCATGACAGTGTAAGTCATGGTATCGTGACAGTGGAAGTCATGGTATCGTGACAGTGTAAGTCATGGTATCGTGACAGTGTAAGTCATGATATCGTGACAGTGTAAGTCATGATATCGTGACAGTGTAAGTCATGGTATCGTGACAGTGTAAGTCATGGTATCGTGACAGTGTAAGTCATGGTATCGTGACAGTGTAAGTCATGGTATCGTGACAGTGTAAGTCATGGTATCGTGACAGTGTAAGTCATGGTATCGTGACAGTGTAAGTCATGGTATCGTGACAGTGTAAGTCATGGTATCGTGACAGTGTAAGTCATGGTATCGTGACAGTGTAAGTCATGGTATCGTGACAGTGTAAGTCATGGTATCGTGACTTTGTTTTGAGTACAAACATCCCAAGCGCCAGTGATCCTCAAGTTGCTGACAGCAGACTCTCACCTCTGTGAACAGCTGTTAGTCAACACCCACGTGTGTGTGTGTGTGTGTGTGTGTGTGTGTGTGTGTGTGTGTGTGTGTGTGTGCGCTTGTGTGTGTACTCACCTAATTGTGGTTGCAGGGGTCGAAACTCAGCTCCTGGCCCCGCCTCTTCACTGATCGCTACTAGGTCCTCTCTCTGCTTCTTGAGCTTTGTCATACCTCGTCTTAAAGCTATGTATGATTCCTGCCTCCACTACATCACTTGCTAAGGTATTCCACTTCCTGACGACTCTATGACTGAAGAAATACTTCCTAACATCCCTGTGACTGTGTATGTGTGTGTTTGTGTGTGTGTGTGTGTGTGTGTGTGTGTGTGTGTGTGTGTGTGTGTGTGTGTGTGTGTGTGTGTGTGTGTGTGTAATCACCGAGTAATGTTTGCGGGGGTCGAAACTCCTGGCCTCAACTCATCTACCTCTCTGATAGGCGTCACTGGCTTCTGGCCTCTTATTGGGCCTTAGCATGTCTACACTTGAAGCTGTGTGTTGAGTTTGCCTCCCCCACTGTGTCATCCAGGTATACATATATACAGGCTTCCCGGGAGACGTGCTAAAATATCAAGGGTTCAATTCCTGGCCAGTCGCAGTATTGTTATTTGTTTAAAATCACATGTTCGTAGATGCACTAACATATATATAATATATATAT